GGAGAATTAAGACGGCTTTCTCAAGTGCAAGTGGAATGTTTTGCTGCAACAAAACCTGAGAGAGATGAATTTTCAAAGCTATCTCGTCATTTCATAGACATTGACGCATTTTACAAAAATGCTTCTCTTTCAAGGAGAAGAATGCATCAAAATGCAGTTTGTTAGTGTGACTCGTAGGGTCCTTGTAGATTGGTGAAGCGGTCGTCTCACTTCACATGTGAAAAAACTGAGTCCTAAAAATACACTCGTTCACCTGGTTTGTGGTGCAGGATCCAGGTTTCAGGCTTCTAATTCTGCACTCTGTCTGCTAAATTGTTCAGTCCCTTTAGAGTGCAATACCCAAAAGAGTATCTGGAAACCAAAACCGAGTCAAGTTCAACATTTCTGGCTTTGGCAATCCTTCTGATGTGTTTCTAGGATATTTTCTTTTTAAACAACCGCTAACTGGAAACCTACCTTCAGCCGAGCAAGTTGAATTTCTGAAAATTCTCTGACACCATTCACTGAAGGGACCAGACGGTTATAAAGAGCCTAAAAAATAAACCAACAAACACAACTCCACAAAGTTTGAAGGTGGACCATGCACTTGGGCATTTCATAGGCTATGACAAAGTTCATGACAGTTATAACAAACTATTTAGATTAAAGGTCCCATTAAAATTTGGGGACTAACGTAAACCATAAAGACTTAGAAAATTCTGTTATTTTAATAAAAACTGACTAAATTTGAAATAATACACATTGCAAATAGCTTGTATAAACATAGCAAATAGCTCTTGATCTATAGCCTATGACTATCAAATTAATATTTATCTGGATGGTGTTCCAAGGATACACCGGGGAATCACTTTACTTGAAGAAAGTCAGGACCTTTCTTGTAAAACATGCCAAAAAGCACCCCACTAATCCTTGCCCTATGTCCCTGAGGATTTAGGACCTGGTACCCGGGCTCTTTCAGGTATGTATTCAGCTCTTGGACTACACGTATGTGAAGCCCAGGATGGGTCTCTGACTCTCACAGCACAGCTGAATTAACTGCACGTAGCATTAGTCTTAAAAAAGGTGCATGTCCAATCTCCCTGTTAGTATATAGATCAGAGACTGGACCTGGCTAGAATGAAGAGAATTGGCCCAATGGTCACCTTAGAACTAAAAACTTATTTCTAGCGATATTTGGCTTAAAAAGTACAACATAATATAATTCACCCAACAGCTTGGCAGTGGTCATAAACCCATCTGAGAATCTGACCAAAGTACGGCTGCTCTCTTGGAATTGAGAACATATATAAAATTCACAAAACACTGAAAAAATTTTTAGAGAGTTTACAGACTAGAAATCTTTCCATGATTCCTTAAGAAACCAGGAATCCCAAGGATCAAGTTCCCAAAATAGATAATAAGGAATCCTTCCCACCTTATCGGTTTGAGTGTTTTCATGCAAGATCCTTGTGTCGATGGCAGCGGCCAGCAAGTTATTGGCAGCAGTAATGGCGTGGATGTCCCCAGTTAAGTGCAGGTTGAACTATAAATGAAACGCAACATCTATCTGTTTCAAACAAACATCACCCGAATAGAAAAAAACGATACACTAACTATGTGTCTTTATAACAAGCTGAATCCATGATGACCTAAACAAGGAAGTCCAGGTCAAGGCCTTCCACTGGACAAAGAGTACTTGAACAGCCTCTTTCATCACAAATTCTTCTATCCTCGGGTTAAAGGAGAAACATTCTGATGGGCTCATTGATGGCTTTCCTTATTTTGGTTTCTTTCTCTTTCTCTTTATGTATTGCTTTATTCTTAAAAAAAAAAAAAAAAAACTGCACGACATCAACTATTCATTGGAATGACAAGGTATAAAATAAAGAGTAACAACAGAATATAAAACATTACAGAAAGTTTAAGAAAGAAGGTATGTCATTCCCACAGCTCTATTAATTTTGCTATTTTCTTCTAGTCCCAATGCACACATGATCATTATTTGTATAACTGGCAAACTTATATTTGGAAACTTGTTTTAAAAAAAAGTTATTAGAGAGTGAGCATTTCCTAATCCAAATATCTGAAATTCAGAGTGCTTCAAAATGCAGAACTTTTTGAGTACACTATCACATTGCCGACTGAAAAATATGCATGAAATTTTGTTTCATATGCAAAATTATTGAAAATATCACATCAAATTATGTCCAGGTTTATGTAGAAGGTACATATAAAACACAAATAAATTTCATGTTCATATTTGGGTTCCATTCCCAAGATATCTCATTATGTATATTTACAAATTTTTAAATTTAAATAAACCTGAAATTCTTCTGGCCCCAGGCATTTTGGATAAGAAATCTTCCTGCAGTGTATAATAATCTTGTTGGTGTAGTTTATTAAGGCTGTGGAATCATGGAGATGCATCAAAAATTTTACCCTCCAATGTCTGGATATGTAAATTGCTTTCAAATTTTCACTTTTGCCAAAAAAGTGCTATAACTCTAAACAATAAATGTAAATAGTAATTATTAATAAGCAATATATTTCTGGGAGTTAAAGGATTCTGATTAATATAAGAAAAGTTCTTTTTCAAAGTTTTAGCTGCAAAACACAGTAGATGAGTTACTTTAGGAAAAAAGTTACACCTTCAGACTAAAAAAAATAACAATGGAAAAAAGATGGTATTCTGTTTTAAGATGCATTTCTTTAACCTCTTGGAAGGTTAAAAATTCATATTTCTTGTTAAATTTTGTATTCACTAGAGAAAATGTGAAAACTACATATATATGTATATTTCATAAAATATATTTATAATTTCCAGTGTTGGGATCCTAGTTCCATAATAGCTTATGCCTTAGCTTTTACATTTAATGTTAATGTTACTAGAATTTTTATATCATAGTTTTCAAAACGTGTTGTTAATTTGATATTCTATCTTTAAACATTTAAGTTTTTCGCAATTTTTTAATGTTATGAACTAGACGGAGTTTTTTGTTTGTTTTTGGTACTGGGAATAGAAGCCAGGGGTGCTTTACCACTGAGCTACATACCCAGCACTTTTTTATATTTAATTTTGAGACATGGTCTTGCTAAGCCATTTAGGGCCTCACTAAGTGGCTGAAGCTGGTCTCAAACTTGCCATCCTCCTGCCTTAGCCTCCCAGGTTGCTGGGATTACAGGCATACGCAGAGCCCCAGGCACACAGCTCCCAGCCCACAGCTAAAGATAGAGTTTTAAAATTAAATATTTATACGCACATCCAATTCTTCCTCGGGACAAACTGAAAATGAACTTATTTGGGCAAAGGACATGAATGTTTTTAAGGTGCTTGATACATTTTTCTAACTCTTTTTGCAGAAGTTTTATTAATATACACTTCTCAGAAGCGATGGAGAGTGTATTTCAATCTATCTCTGCCAAAATTTGGTATGAATGCTACTTTGAAAAATTCTGCTCTGTCAACTTGAGAAGTGAAGCAGTAACTGATAGTGGTTTTAATGCAGATGTTTTTGGTTATTAGTGGAGATGGAACACCCTTGGTTAGTTACTATTTATCTTCTGACATTTTTCTTGAACCCTTTGGCCATTCTACAACTGGGGTTTAAGTTTTGCTTCCAGCTGTCTACTTGATATCCTCTCGGGTGTCTCAAAGGACCCCCGAGGACTCTTCCCTCTGGATGGCTGTCCTTCATCACAGACACTGCCAACTCAGTTCCCCAATTCTCCATTTCAACAACAGATTCCATTGATTTGCTCAACGCAACACCCCGGACATTACCCTTTGATCCTCCCCTCGACTCATCCCAACGTCTTCTGCCTTAGCCTCCCAAGTTGCTGGGATTTCAGGCATATGCAGACGTCCCACAAACATCAGCGAACAGAGCTTAAATCACCATCCTTTTTCTACCCTCATGGCCACTGTCCTGGGCCCAGCAGCCACCATCTTCCCCCTGGGCTGCCCCCATAGTATCCACACTGGGCTTCATCTGTCGACTCTTTGCACAAAGGCCAGAGTGAGTTTTGGAAAGCCTAATCTGCCTCCTGTGGTGATTCAGGGAAGATCCCTTCAATGAGGCCGACCATGACACTTAAATCAAACCCAGGCTCTTGGCTCAGAACTGAAAGGGCTGGCACCTGTCCACTCTTGTGTCCCATCTCCCTCACCCACCCTGCCCGGGGGCTGCAGCCACACTGGTGTCCTCCGAACAGGCCAACCCCTCTCCTGTCTCAGGACTTTCCCACCAGAGTTCCTGCTGCCTGGAACGTCTTTCCTCACTCTTGACCAGGCTTCCCCTTTGCACCTTTTAAGTGTTCCTATTTTCACTTTCCTTTTCTCGGCCCATCTGGAATTTATTCTAACATCTCCCCCATTTGACTATTTGTGACATTTCTTCCAGTGTGTTCTGTGAGTGCAGGTGTCTAGTATTAACAAGCGGTGAGCGTCAGGCGCTGTGCTCAGAGCTGCAGATACAGGGATGGAGAAGACACGAGGGTGTTCTGCTCTCAGGGACCAGCTGCCTGACTGTGTGCTCCAAGCCACGTAGTGAATGGCTTAAAACAGTGGGACACCACCTCCCTTCCCTGTTTGCTGGCGAAATCCTGAGTTCTATATTCCCTAGACTCCATCCCCAGCCTAGCCTCCTGGCTCTGGATCGATCCTCCTGGCTTTGTCAATAGTACTCACTCCCGTTCAGATGTGAGGCTTGGGCTGTTTTCTCAGCAATGCCTTGGACTCCTCTTTCTCACTCCCACCCCTTATTCTTGAGGGTTTTTCCAGAGTTTCTTCCCAGACACTCAGGCCTCTATGGGTAAACACTTCTCCTACTCCTTCAACAAAGTAAAAACAAAACAAAACAAAACAAAAACTTTCTAATGAGCACGCATTATTTTCTGGGCACTATACTAAGTGCTGGGACCTGGCACCTCAAGACAGGCCTCCAACTCACAGAAGACAACCAAACTGATGTCTGAAAACACAGGGGAATTTGTGGGGTGGAGTAGAAATTCAAGAACAGAACCTGAGATGGGTAATAAGGGTGGAAAAGGAAGAGAAGAATGTTCGAGGCACGGGAAAAGTCTTGGAATCAAGATAAAACAGGGGACTGAGGGTGCAGCTCAGTGGTAGAGCATGTTTGAGCATTCATGAAGTCCTGGGTTCGGGCCTCACTTCTACCTGCAAGGTAACAAGAAGAGAAAACAGGACGGGAGTCTGTGAGGAGACTGAAATGGGGATGGTGGGGGGAAAGTGGGATGGTGGGCCAGCAGATGGTGAAGCAGAACTAGCAGGCTACTGAGCCTTCACGTTGAGCAGGAGAGGCGGGCAGTGACCTGCTCAGACCAGGGTTCAGGGAGAGTATGAAGGAGCGAACTGTGAGGCTGATGCAGACAGCAGAGGTGCTGAGATGAGCCCTGGTTAGGTCCAGGGCACAAAGGAGGCTACGCGGGATGAAGAAAAGGTTCTCAGGAAAATCAGAACTGATACCACTGGCTTTTTTTTTTTTCTTCCTTGTTCTCCTCTGTAAACATTTTATTTTGGAGTCTGAATGGACAGAAGTGAGCATCCAAGTCCTCCTGACTTTGGTGGTATAGCAATGACCAATGGAAGGACAGGTCAACATTCTTAAGAACATTCAAGTCTACGCAGGTATTGGGACTTAGAATCTTTTGCAATCTAGAAAGGTAGTATGATGCAGGTAAAACTTATTTATAAAATACCCCAACCAGGCAGTAGACCAGCACCCTTCAGAAGAGGAATATGCGTGAATAATCAGCAAAACATGAATATTCACCCCAGGTGGCATACACAAAACCCACACATGGCTCCCAACAGTCAATGGGAGGTTCTGCCACCACAGGAGCTGTGCGAATGCCCTGGGTTTACAGAGTCTTTCAGGCTTTAGATCATGGATGAAGGACTGTGGGCCGCTTGATGAAACAGACACTGAGATGTCAGGAAGGAAACAGGGACCCACGGCACACCTCAAGGCCTTACCTCCTCCATGGGGATGACCTGTGCGTATCCGCCACCTGCAGCTCCTCCTAAACAACAAGGTGGCATTTAGTGAGTCATCAAGTGCATCTGCACGGCCCCGACAGAGCCCCAGGCACAGCTCCCAACCAAATAGGTAGGCATCTATGCCAAGGTGAAATCATTACCTGCCCTGTGCAAGCAGAACAGGAGTAAAACAAAGTTTGCATGGGTGTCCAACTGTGCAATCGAAGACTTGCATTTCTTTGTTTAAAAACAAAGGTAAAATAATAAAGATACACACACACACATACACATTTGCTATATATAGCAAATGCCAGCACTGTAAAAACATTTCAGAGCTAGGATTATGGGTGCAGGCCCATAATCCCAGCAATTTAGGAGGCTGAGGCAGGAGGATCACAAGCTTGAGGCTAATCTGAGCAATTTAGGAAGATCCTATCTCAAAAAATAAAAAAGGTCTGGGTATAGCTTAGCAGTAGAGCAACTACTACTGGGTTGAATCCCTAGTACCAAAATAACAACCAACAAAAAGCATACTTCAGGATATAACATGGTTTTATTAATTTATTATTGGATATCAAGGCTGTACTTTATCTAAATCATACATATACTGAAGTAGTAAAAATTTTCACTTAAAAAGCCACCTGTAAATGATCTACAGATTATAAACTTCAGCCAGATCATTTTAGATAATCCTAGGAAAGGTCTGTCCTGTTGTTTATCCTTTAGGCATTAAAGCTGTATGTTAAAAAAAAAAAAAAGCATTTCACCCACTTGCATAACATTTTATAATTTACCCCATTCTTTTTAGGCTACCTCATTTGAGCTTCACAACAACCTGATGAGCTGGGCACCATGGACTTTTTAAACTCTGACGGATGCAGCTCAGAGAGGTCTTCACTGGCGATAGGTCACACAACGGTGAGAGACACAGCTGTGATCCAAACCTTGGCCCTCTCACTCCAAGCCTAATGTTTGTTCCACTGCATAATGGATGACCCTCTACGAGTTATCAGCTCTTGATGAGTTAGGAGTTATTAATGTTTATAAAAGTAATATAAATATAATACAGTTAAAAACCACCAACTGCCAAGAACACACAGTAATGGCAATAAGTGCTATTGTAAAATGAAGTCAGGAGTGACTTCACGATCCATCAACGAAGAAAGAGTCATGAGTGGGAATGTGCCAGACACGAGCCCCGCCAGAGCCAGAGAGGAATTTCACCATGACTCTGTGCACAGCCAGTTCGTCTCCAGAGCTCCTCAGGCCCCACACGACAGCTCCCACAAGTTGGTTTTTGGGGGCCACTTTAGGGGGCTTTTCGGGTTTTGGGGGGAGGGTTTTTCCGGGGGTTGGGATGATAAAAAGCCCCCAGGACCAGCAGATTTTCAAAGGTTTTGGCAGACAAGGCCCAGTTGAGACAGAATGGGGAGGACTGCCCAATGGGCCGAGGGGAGCGGGTCTCCCATGGGCTGCACTGAAGACCCTGCCCCGTGCAGCTCCCTAGGCATTTCTGCGTGCCAGGAGGACCAACCTGGGGTAACTGCTGCATACTCAGTGTGCAGAGGGCATACGTAGGCACAAGATGGACCAATTCTTCTGAAAAGTTTTACCCCCTGTGTATGATCTTCTTTTTAAAAAGCCCCCCGCCGCCTACACACAATTTTGCTCTGACAAATATACAAGTTGCGAAATAAAGTACCTTTCACTCCAAAAGTCGGCCCCTGGGAAGGCTGCCTCAGACAGGCAAAGGAGTTGACGTGCAGGTGTGCGGTCAGCGCCTGCACCAGCCCGATGGTGACTGTGCTCTTCCCTTCTCCAAGAGGGGTGGGCGTGATCCTGGTGGGGGGAGAGTGAACTGAGTCATTTTTCCAAGACAAACCATGCAGAGCTAACCTCTCCCAACTCCACTCAGTAATGCCGTTGCTTGGATCATGGTGGTCTACCCTCAGCACTCAGGCCAGGCTGAAGGTAAGATCAAGAGAGACATGTAGAGGGGCTGGGGCTGTGGCTCAGTGGTACAGTGCCTGCCTAGCATGTGTGAGGCACTGGGTTCGATTCACAGCACCACATGTAAGCAAATAAATAAATAAAGGTCTATCAATAACTAATAAAAGTATTTTTTTTAAAAAAAAAGAGAGAACAGGGAAGAAAACTAGAAACCAAAAGGGCAAAGTTATCTAACTCCTTAGAGTGAGGAAGTTCTTTGTTCTCATGGAGGGACACCAGCATTTCTGTTGCTTCCAATCTCTTGGAGACTCATAACTAAGCCTAATCCCTTTCCATACAATAGCTCTTTCAATGTTGGAAAAGAGTAAGTCCAAAGCCCCTCCCATAGAAAGCAGGAATTCCACCCCCCCCCCGCCCCAGCCGGAGTTTATTACTGATAACACCCAAAAAAGACAAATATTCACATGTTTATAACATCACAGTATTAGATGATAGGAAGTGAACCAATTACATTCCCAAAGACAACCCATAAAGCTATTCCTTAGCATCTTATTACCACCAAATGCACCATTTGTGCATTAGATGGTGTGAGTCGGAATGTGTAGGATATTAAACTACAACAGATATGATCAGACTGTTTTCTGGCCTACAAAATTTGGTGAAGTGGCCACAAAGAGGAAGTCATGCCTTTGATCCATCGTGGTCCCCAGCTATCTCAGACCACCCCTACAACACGATCAGTGATGGAGAAGTCAGATTCCTTCTCTGCATGGATAACTCAGTGACTACAATACACGTGATAAACACTAAGATGGGGAATAGGTCAAACAGACTATGTTAAGTGTGCACGTGGAAGGAGGATCTAACTAGATTGGGAACACCAGGGAAGGCTTCCTGTAGGAAGTGACATCTTGGTGGAGTCCTGATAAATATTATCCAGATAAAACTGAGTGGGGTAGGGGTGGTTAATAAGCAGAGAACTTTGCATCTATGGTCTTATTTGTATCCCATTTGATAGATGAGAAAACAGGTACAGAGGGTTTGAATAACTTGCCCACGATCACCTGACTAGAAGGCAGTAGAGCTGGTCCTACCCCACAGACCAGCTGTCTGGCTTCCCAGGTTATTTCTACTGATGGAATAGTAAGTGTTCTGCTGTGGTAACTACAGCTGGCAGATTAACTAGCAGATTAGGGCAAGGAATGAGCACAGTCAGCCAGGGAGAAGGAGCAGAGAAAGAGAAGGGTATGGACAAGTACATCTGAGAGACCAAAGGAAATCAAGGAGGAGTAAGATGAAAGAAGAACCCCCGCCCCCCGCCCCATAGGAAGGCCAAAGAAGAGCACATTTAAGACAGAGGGAGTCACAGGCCACTGAGGTTTGAAATCAAGTGAGGACAGAGGAGAGCCAGTGGACTCCACGACAGAGTGACCACTACAGGAGGGGTTGGTGGTGAGCCAGCAAGAAGAAGACACGGTGAAATAACCTTCAACTCCCAAGTCACATCAAAGTGGCATCCCCGTGACCTCTGCATGTGTCTAACGAGCACATTTTGGAGCGGGGCCAACAAGGAGACTCCAAGTTACACAAAGGTGCTTATCCATGGAGTCAACTTTCTACTCTTTGAGATACAACACTCATAATGATAAGAGCAGACGCCCAGAGACATCAAAATCTTTGGAAAGCTTGTAAAGAAGATGCAGTACCTTCTGTAGGGCAGTTTCAGGACCTACTGAGCATTTATTGTTTGCAAAGAAAAAAACGATTGACTTGAGCAGTGTTCCATGAGTGATTACATTTTCTTTCCCCAGGACAGGCTCACAGAGCTGCAGAGCGGGCCAAGAGCGGCCACGCCCAGCGATGACCTCCTGGGAACTTCAGCCAGCCATCCAAGTCTTAATTAGAAACACAGGACCGCTCAGCTTTTTGCCAACGAATACAATTCAGGAAAATCAGAAAGTAGGAAGTATTTATTGGGAGCAATAAAAGGAGCGCTACAATAAAAAATTTATTTCGCCTCATGCCTGCATGCGATATCAAAATTTGGTTGACTTTTTTCCCCCACAGTATCCTTAGCTCAGATTCCAAATTGTCAAAGTTGACTTTGAAAAGAACAAACACAAAAACTGTCTCATGTCTTTTTCTGTTTCAGTGAGAGCGTTGTTTATGAAGATGGAAGTGTGATTTTTGTTGATGAACTTCCTCAACCTCTCCAGGCATGTTGGTGGGCTCCCGACCTATGTCCACAACACAGCATTTCTTATAGGACTTGTCTGCGACTTCTCAGATGGCTTATGATTAGGGATTTGATCTAGTCTGTCTTGCCTAAGGGCCACAAGTGTGCCAAGATAGAGGATTTAATGTCAACTACAGAAAAAAAAAAATCTGCCAAAGTACCCTGTGACAATTTGGATTCATTCTGAAATAGGCTGATCATTTACTCAAAGGTCGAAGAAATTGCTTATATGGAGGCAAGAGGTAAAACTCTGAATCATTCTTAAAATTCGGAATCCAACAAGAGTATTATTGGCATTAGTCACGGCCTAACCATGAATCCCAAACTACAGGCTCAACAGCAAAAGAGTATATATCATTCATTCCAGGCATCTTTATGGTTTGGAAGGTCTTTTAAAAGCCTTTTATTATCTAATAATAAAACTTATAGTCCATTTGGTTGTGTTTCCCATTACATTTGACAGAGGTAAATAGTTCAGAGTTCCTGTGGGTACTGGTTCCTTCTAAATACCTTTGTTCTAGTTTACAATTAATACAAATAAAGGGGAAACTCACAGATATTCAGTTATCTAAGGTAGAAGGGCAAAATCTTAGAAAACTCAGTAGAGGTTATTTTCACTCTGTACCAGAAAGATGGGATAAAACATTAAAACCCCAAAAACCTCAAGTCAAGTATTTGGCATGCTGCCGAAAACAAAAGATGAAGTGACATAAATGATATATTAGATTAAATATCACCTTAGAGAAAGGTGATATTCAATCTAATCTCAGAGCAGTCTGGATTTTTTTTTTTTTTTAAAGTACTCTGTCTGAGCAATTCAGAGAACTTCTAGATTGTTCTGCATGGAAATCTGTGGAAGCCCAATAGAGACCAAGTGCACATTCAAATGCCCTGCAGCTGCACTCCGAGTCAGGTTCTCAAACGAAATTCCTTTTCATTAGTGTAACTGGGAAAATATGTAAAACTCAAGAGCCCCTAAGATTCTGTTGGCGTATTTCCCTGAACAATTCCCAATACTTTTCATTTTGTCAGGCAAAGCAAATAAAGTGATGTGTAGGTGTAAATTCCATGTGATACACAGCTGATGAAATGCAGATGATTCTGACTGAATGAGAAATCAGAAGGTTTGAAGAATGGCTTTTTAAGGAGAATTAATCTGTTCTGCTTTTGTGTTACCAATAACAGAATTTTTTTTAAAAATCCCATTCTTTTACATTTTAACCCACCGTTGATATATTTAAATCACATTTATATATAAATCCATACGTACAATAACAAATGTATTATGAGTTAGGTTATTGAAAAATTTCTTAGGTATTTGAATTCCTCTAAGGCATGGGAAAAGATTCATGTTAGACTTCAGAGAGAAAGACACGACACAGAATGGTATTTATAGCATGGTCTTTGTACAAAAATGGATGCATAGACAAAATTCTGGAAGGAGATTTAAAACCTTTCAGAAAAAAGGAAGTAATTCTGCACTTAATGAAGGGGTCATTCCATTTCTGAAGAAGCTGGAACAGTGCATGACATAACTGATAATGTCATTCTGCCCTAACTTTAAAAATTTTTTTATTAATTGTAGATGGATACAACATATTTATTTATTTATTTGTTTGTTTGTTTATTTATATGCAGTGCTGAGGATCAAACCCAGTGCCTCACATGTGCTAGGCAAGTGCTCTGCCACTGAGCCCCAGCCCAGGCCCTTGCTCTAAGTTTGACCTGACCAAAAATAAAAAAGGGAGTTGATTTTTACATTAAATTTATTTTCTATTTTTTTTTAGGTTATAAATAAAATATTTCTGTTCTAAGTTGACCTCAATCATACAGCTATCAAGAATTAGGTAGTAAAGGCAGTTTACACATTTAAAA